TCGCTCAGCGAGCTATGGAGAGGGCTATGCTCGGAGTTTCTCTGCGTGATAGACTCAGAAATGAGGATATCCGCAGTAAAACCAGAGTGACCGACATAGCCCAACGGATTAGTAAGCTGAAGTGGCAATGGGCCGGCCATATAGCTCGAAGAACCGATAACCGATGGGGAAGAAAGGTTCTCGAGTGGCAGCCTCGTACCGGTAGGCGTAGTGTAGGGCGACCCCCCACTAGATGGAGTGACGACCTGGTAAGACATGCAGGAAGTCGATGGATGCAGGTGGCTCAGGACCGTGCTTTGTGGCATTACTTGGGGGAGGCCTATGTTCAGCAGTGGACTTGTGAAGGGCTGTAATGATGATGATGATGATGATGAATTCCCCGGTCGAACCTTAAAACCTATTACGCGAGCTATTAATCTAAGTGGACTGTATCTACAAAATGTTTCTACACTTATATAAACGGCGACTATAGCATGCGGTACAATGCACTCGCTCTTCCCTAAAAACGAACTATTATTTGCCAAATCGATGAAAGGAATCCTGCTTGATTAGGAGAAAACAAAATTGGAGCGGGTTAAAACACAATTATATCAAGCAGGCAATACAGGCAATATTATTAGGAATATTGACTCACCGGGGTGTCTCATCTCTGCTGTTGGGCACTATAGCTGCGACTTCTGGAACTTCTTCTGGACAGACACTCCGGGGCGAGGCGGTGCGCGACTATATCTCACACGAGGTGAGGCGGGTTTCCTGGAGCTTGACTACTTCCAGGCTAAAGCGGTTCTACTAGCGGTGTGGTTCCAACAACGAGCGCGGCGGGAAGAGGGTGCGCGTCGGTCGCGCGTGCCTTTTATACCTTCGGTTGCGATGATTACGTGATATTCTAGAATCATCTTCTTTCCCCTCCCACCCCACCACCCCGATGTGTCGATAGGAGGGTATGAATGATATCGTTTTGGAAAGGGATAACCGATTTGGCAGCCTATCGTCAAAATAAATAAATACGAATGGTTTTCCGCGCAACTACTATACCTGATTTTGATTCTATTTTGATTTTCTGAAGACCTGATTTTTGCATCTGGTTTGTTCTGAATAACGACTTTATTTTTAATAGGAGCGCCTTGTTTATACTTGTAGCACTTATTTAGCACTTAATTTATTGCTATTAATATTTGTCGAACATCTATTATCGTCACTGCGTTGCTAGCGATACGTTTTGCCAGCAACGAAAATTTCAACAGTTCGTTAGGGAGAAAATTTTAGAGCACCTTAATTCTAAACTTGGCACCTAATTTGCACCTAAAAAGCTCTTAAATTTGGCTTTTTCTAAATGCAAATTCCTGACTTTGCGTTGCTGGCGGACAGAGCTCGGGGAGTGCTCTGAGAAATTGTTCGGATTAATTCCAGCCGCCAAATCTGACGAACGCACATCGAGTCAAAACTCACGATACCATCCACACCACCTGGATGCTTGGCGGTCCACCACTATACGTTATATTAAGTTTTCTTTATTGAAAAACCCCTCTGTGGAATCGTTTACCACCGGCATTTTTTCTGGACCGATAGGACTTAGGGACCATCAAGAAAAGAGGTTACCCCTTTCTAAAAGGCCGGCAATGCACTTGCAATTCCCCTGGTCTTAGGGTTGTTCATTGGCAGCAGTAGTCACAAACCACCAGGTGAGCCGCACGCTCGTTTGCCCCCTCTTCTATGAAAATAAAAATCGGTTTCTAGTGTATGATATCAATATACAAAACAATGCCTCTCAGAACGAATTATTATCGATATCGATATATGAAATCTGCCGAATATTATAATACCTCATTTCTACGAGTAAGTGCTATGCTGCGTTGACTAGGTATGTGATAAATACTAGGTATATGATATATATAATAAATATTAGTGTTATCAGGATTTTGGATGACTAAAACATCTAGGAGAGCTAAAGAATTATTTACCTTTAATTCCATTCCGAATTGTATTTTAGAGTTAATTAAGTTAGGGTGGTATAAAAATGCAATAACTGACTGGTGGTAAAATTGTTAGTGTCGTCTACGTCTTGCTTGTAGAATTTCGGTTTTACAAGAGCTGTAAGAAAGTCCTAAAAGTTCTCCATGAATATATAGGCATGTAAATATTTTTTTATAGGATTGGGTGACAAACGAGCACACAGTCCACCTGATGGTAAGTGGTTGCTGCGGCCCATGGACATCTACATCTATCCTCGATTACAAATCAAAATGCAGATGCGTTGTGACCCGTGAGGACTAAGATGGAATGCCTCGTTTCCAGTAAAGGGTATCTGGTTCTCGACACTCACCATAGGAAACACAGCAGCATTAAGCTACTATTGTACGCTGGTATTCTGTGAGAGCGTGGTCCTTCCCTGGTCGAGCCGAATATTCATGCTACAACTATACTACTAATATAACCGCAGCATGGCTCTACCACGTATAAGTGGTATAAGACCACGTATAAGTGGCGGTATAAGTAAATAGTGCCTGAACATCTAAAATTGACCATATTTTCATTGTCAGCGAGATTTAGGTCTTTTATCTATGTTAGGAATACTTTGGATGTGCTCTGGTGTGTCCTCTCAGGTGTGAGAAGTATTTACCAAGTGTTAAGACAACTGATACGAGTATGTTGGTGAATCGATATGGCTCAATTTGGGACGTAGTGGAGCGTTTGTTTTGTGTATTTTCGGTAACCCATACAATCTCGATGGTTTGGTATATGATGGTATTATCAAATCCAAACTCCTCAGTTCCCCCTGTCACCATGGGTGTAAAGTATCCGAAACGTCGAGAATTAAAAATAGGTTAAATGAGTAAAAAATTTTCCACGATGAGAAAAAGCATAAGTGAAGCAAATTTTAACAAGAATCCATTTTTAATAAGTTTATTATTGAGCCTTTATATATAAAATTTCAATAAATTAATGATACAACAAATAGTTACTTTAATCTAAAATTAAATATAAATAATAATAAATAAAGTTGTTACCGCGCAGCGTTTAATTATTCGTCATCTGTCGCTCCTGTGTCCACTTTTCCGGATGTTGCTGTTTGACTGAGAGCCCAGGTTGCGGGATCCACCATAATGTATTGATATGGATACGTATACGCAGTCGGCCAACCGTGTTGCGCTGGCTGTGAAACATTTGCACTACTATCTTCGTCTCCTTCTTTGAGGGCATTCATAGCGGCTGACAAAGCAGTCATCATGTGTGGGTAGTAGTAAGGGTAGGGGTAAGGATGTACGCCAGTGGCTGGAGAAGCGACATTCTCTAACCGGCATTGTGACTCTTCGCCTGGTTTGCTAAAGCTTGGTGCGTAATAAGCGTATGGATATGGGTTAAATGAGTTTCCATCTGTGGGTCCAGGTACGGGTAGGGCATAAGCGTATTTTACTGCAGGACTTGTAAAAACAGCCCGTTTTTTAGTAGTCACCGTTTCCTCGTGAGGCGAGCTACTGGTTGTTAGACTTGACGTGTATGTCACTGGCATAGAAGCTGCTTGAGACTGAGACGCCGACGGTTTTGATAAAAAGTTGATGGGCTGATCTGTCAGCCATTCTGAGGTTATTCCGTTGTCTTCTGTTGCAGCGACGTACAAATCTCCCGTGATACCATCTTCAGATGGCTTGACGAAAAAGACCGTGAACTGGATTGAGTTGTTTCCGCAAACCTTAGTTAGCAGCGTCACAGTTTGTTAAATAAAACGTTGTTGCAATCACCTCACGAGGAATTATTTACCTTTAATTCCATTCCGAATTGTATTTTAGAGTTAATTAAGTTAGGGTGGTATAAAAATGCAATAACTGACTGGTGGTAAAATTGTTAGTGTCGTCTACGTCTTGCTTGTAGAATTTCGGTTTTACAAGAGCTGTAAGAAAGTCCTAAAAGTTCTCCATGAATATATAAACATGGGGGAAGAGGTAATATCGTCACGTCTCTGCTTGTAGCTCCTCCTTCCACAATAGATAGTCAAAGTGAGGCAATGCTTGATATACTACATATTCTAGGTCGGTTTATACAAGATTAGGTACAATGTTTTCTTCTAGCTTCCTAATTACAAATGAAGTGCATTCTTCAATAGGTCGGCATATAAATATTTTTTTATAGGATTGGGTGACAAACGAGCACACAGTCCACCCAATGGTAAGTGGTTGCTGCGGCCCATGGACATCTACATCTATCCTCGATTACAAATCAAAATGCAGATGCGTTGTCACCCGTGAGGACTAAGATGGAATGCCTCGTTTCCAGTAAAGGGTATCCGGTTCTCGACACTCACCATACGAAACACAGCAGCATTAAGCTACTATTGTACGCTGGTATTCTGTGAGAGCGTGGTCCTTCTCCGGTCGAGCCGACCCATTCGTGCAACAACTATACTACTAATATAATCGCAGCATGGCTCTATCACGTATAAGTGGTATAAGACCACGTATAAGTGGCGGTATAAGTAAATAGTGCCTGAACGTCTAAAATTGACCATATTTTCATTGTCAGCGAGATTTAGGTCTTTTATCTATGTTAGGAATACTTTGGATGTGCTCTGGTGTGTACTCTGAGGGGTGAGAAGTATTTACCAAGTGTTGAGACAACTTATACGAGTATGTTGGTGAATCGATATGGCTCAATTTGGGACGTAGTGGAGCGTTTGTTTTGTGTATTTTCGGTAACCCATACAATCTCGATGGTTTGGTATATGATGGTATTATCAAATCCAAACTCCTCAGTTCCCCCTGTCACCATGGGTGTAAAGTATCCGAAACGTCGAGAATTAAAAATAGGTTAAATGAGTAAAAAATTTTCCACGATGAGAAAAAGCATAAGTGAAGCAAATTTTAACAAGAATCCATTTTTAATAAGTTTATTATTGAGCCTTTATATATAAAATTTCAATAAATTAATGATACAACAAATAGTTACTTTAATCTAAAATTAAATATAAATAATAATAAATAAAGTTGTTACCGCGCAGCGTTTAATTATTCGTCATCTGTCGCTCCTGTGTCCACTTTTCCGGATGTTGCTGTTTGACTGAGAGCCCAGGTTGCGGGATCCACCATAATGTATTGATATGGATACGCATACGCAGTCGGCCAACCGTGTTGCGCTGGCTGTGAAACATTTGCACTACTATCTTCGTCTCCTTCTTTGAGGGCATTCATAGCGGCTGACAAAGCAGTCATCATGTGTGGGTAGTAGTAAGGGTAGGGGTAAGGATGTACGCCAGTGGCTGGAGAAGCGACATTCTCTGACCGGCATTGTGACTCTTCGCCTGGTTTGCTAATGCTTGGTGCGTAATAAGCGTATGGATATGGGTTAAATGAGTTTCCATCTGTGGGTCCAGGTACGGGTAGGGCATAAGCGTATTTTACTGCAGGACTTGTAAAAACAGCCCGTTTTTTAGTAGTCACCGTTTCCTCGTGAGGCGAGCTACTGGTTGTTAGACTTGACGTGTATGTCACTGGCATAGAAGCTGCTTGAGACTGAGACGCCGACGGTTTTGATAAAAAGTTGATGGGCTGATCTGTCAGCCATTCTGAGGTTATTCCGTTGTCTTCTGTTGCAGCGACGTACAAATCTCCCGTGATACCATCTTCAGATGGCTTGACGAAAAGACCGTGAACTGGATTGAGTTGTTTCTGCAAACCTAAGTTAGCAGCGTCACAGTTTGTTAAATAAAACGTTATTGCAATCACAGCGAATATTTTTTCCATTATGAGCAATGTTCCTCTTCGAAATAAATACGTTTTATATAAGCCTTGACCTATCTCGCACCCTCATGCATGAAGGATCATGCAAGGAGTTTTGTCTACTACAGCTGGACTTTATTAAGGTTGTTTCTTCTTTAAAATTAATAAGCAGAGACTTCATAATTTATACTGTTATTTTAATCGGTTAGATTAAGATAACAAACGAATTCACAATCAAGTTTAAATATCATCTTGATTTAAAATTACGGCACGTATAGTTACTCAATTTGATTGACTATCTACACGTTACACGATAACACATGTTTAGGATTTTTCTGGTAATTTGACATTAAAAATGTAATATGATAAACCACCGTGTTACGACTGCGTAGAATTATGAATAAAGTCCTACGTAACTACTAAGTTACGGGTTCTGCGTTCCCCTATGAAAGATCAGAGACTAAAGAAGATAATGAAAAATATTTCATACTATATTGACGAAGTAAATCCATAAGGTATCCAATACCCACATTGATTAATGTATACCGTATGGATTTACTGAAGAAAAAAAGCAAACTTGCCTTAATTTGTTGCATCGGCACACAAATGCTATGCAATCTTTAGAAAGGATAAGCACTTGTGATGAAAAGTGGATAAAGTATGGTGATTAGAATCGTTCATCCTAATAATTAGAGTCAAGCGGGCAGTTGAAACCGTATTCAGTACGCGAATTGCACCAGAGTTATTCAGTTCTTATTAATGATATCTGCCATAACAATTACTATATAAGATATAATATAATGTATGATAATATTTATTTTCTTTCTCTTATATTTTTGTTATTAGCATAACAGTGCAATAATTTTTACTCCAATTCACCATTTAAACACGTTAATTTACAATTTATTCATTTCCATGAACAGGATATTTATAACATTTCTTCTAAAAATTTGAAAAACTCCCATTAAAACGACAAAAGTGTTGGTTTCATTAAAACGAGTTGTTATATACTCGTAGTAACGAGTTTAATATTTATTTATTGATTAGAACGGTAATCTCATATGTCGAAAGAACCTAGTATTTACGTGTTTATGAAAGTAAATCCTCAATTTTAGAATAGAATCATTTTATATTCAGTATTGATTACATGTAACTTTTATTAAGTCATTTTTTAATTTTACCATTGGTTTGGAAATAAACTTCAGTCCTGGGAAGAACCAGCAATAAACCGAGCGGGACTCTTTTTTTAAAGCATAAGTTACATTATAATATTTATACAATTGTTATGTAGACATTTAGAAACAGCATGGAAGCGATCACCTCATCCTTATTCCCAGGGGTTATTATCAATCATGATGTACTCTTTAGTAGTAAAATAACCCTTACTAAACATTAAACCTTTTGATAGATAAGGTTTGTACATTTTCTGGCACTTTGTTGTAGAAGCGTATACATTGCCTCATGTAAGAATTAATGTTTCTTTGGAGTCGAGTAACTGGTATAACTTGTGCTAGTTCCTAGTATTTACAGAATGTAAATCACTTTTTTAATAAAAAAAAATTGTTTTTGTGTATATATATACATAAAATTTTCGTAAATATATTGAGAGGTCATAGTTAATTAAATTAAATATTTCTTTTAAAGGATTCCTTCTGACCTAGGTTATAAATTGCTCTTATGGCCCTCTTTTAACAAGAAGACGGATTGGCCTTTGCAATACCAGAATCCTCGTTGCCAGTCTGGGTATTTTACGTCAGACATAAACAACAAGATACAAGACTACAAGATAGTTCATCATTACAGCCATAGAATTATTAGGCTCAGAACCGCAGCAGGCGCACGCAAAGTGAAGCCGTTTCAAGTTAGCCTTTCAGTACTCGAAATCACGTAGTCGTGTAAAGAGCTCGCGCAATTATGAAAAAAAAAATGACGTATTGTGCTGTTAAAGAGTGTCACAAGTCATCACATAATCATGAAAAAAAATTATAAATCTAATTTCACGGGTCAATACCGCCTAGCATCTTATATTTTTATAAAAAACATTCATCAAAACAAAATAATAAATAGTAAATTTGACAGACTCCAATATAACGAAAATGTTGCTAGGCATAGTAAAATATTTTACCCCATATTTTCTTATTATTGTAATTACATGCTGCCAATATGGGACTATTATTGTTGTATTTTTATTTAGCAAATAAAAATACAATATTTAATTAATATAATTACGTATTTTGGTAATTTTATACTATCGCGGTCACCTTGTTTTTCGGCTCTAGAAAATCGAAAAATCATCCGATTTCCATGATTTTTTTTAATTCTTCGTCTTTGCGGCGGATTTATGAAAAAAAAAAATTAGTAAAATTCTCACCTCAAAATTTCATTAGTTTTATGAATAAATGTGATCATAAACCAACTTCTTCGAATATAATCGTTCATAACTTTTTTGAAAAGCGTTAGATGCAGTTTGTATATTTTTTCTTAATCTACAAAAAAAAAACAAACATTTAAAAAAGGCATTGAAAAATGTTTGTTTATTAATTTTATATCTCACTAAGTTTTAGACTTTAAACGTTATCATAAACGCTCTAGAAAATAGAAAAATTATCCGATTTCGATGGGTTTTTTAAATCTTCGTTTTTACGGAAAAGATCATAATAAAAAGAATTAACTACGTATTATATTCAAAAATAAATCAATAACTTATATTATCCTCGAAAAAATCTTGTATCAAAATAAAAAAATATGCAATCTTTGACTATGATTGCTATATCTTAATCTAAATATTTTTACATATAATTTTTATTATTTGAAATGCAAGCGTATTTTACATAAAATACGCTTGCATTTCAAATAATATCAGCAATGTAGTATTTATAGCAATATTAATATTTATAAAAAATGTGTTACAATTGTACTGTACTATAAATTGCGATAAAAGTAAATAGTTTGCGTAGTTTCTAAACGCGGGAACATATTGAAAAACAATTTTTCAATGGAAAACCGTTCTCATTTTAAATTTATAAAATTTAACCTCAATGAAGCTACCAAACCAATGAAATAACAGTAGAGAAAGTCATAGCGTGGGCGTGGTGGTGGTAACCTTGTGATGGTGGCCACCATACTCCACTTATCATCCCGTGGTTATCGTAAGAGGTGATAGAGAGAAACAAACCAGGAGATGATCAGCATCGTCTTCTTGATAACAACTCAAAATTATCAAAAATCGCGGCTGTCGACCCGCCTATCAAGTGTAACAACTATGGCAAATATCCTCCTCATGAGGCAAGCTGTGGGGAGGCGAATGTTTAGCAGTGGACTTTGTCGAAGTGGCTGTAATCATAGAGTAATTAGACTTAGAGTGATAGTGTCATTCAAAATTCCGGTCAAAGTTGAAGCAACAACACAATTAATGTGTGCATAAGCGGCCTGTAATTACGTTTGCCCGCACGCACACAAGCAAATGAGTAATGTATGCAAGTAAATGACGATTTCCCCAAAAATGGGTAAAGTGTAATAGTAGACATAGTCGTAAAATTAATAGTTAGGTTTGCGTTTAGAATTATTTATTAATAATTTACAAAGAGAGAAATATAAAATTACTTATATTTGTTAACTAATATTTTATTTAAATTATACATATACGTAATATCTTGTGCTATAAAATATATTTACAAATCTATTACGTTATTATATTATTCTGTTAGAAGTTATATATTTATATAAGTGTATAGTATTGTATATTTATTTAATTATAACATACCTTTTTGTATAAAAAATTAAATATTTGTTATCTAATGTTTTAAATATCTTGTGCTAGTATATTCACAAATCTATAATGTTATTATATTATTCTGTTAGAATTGATATATTTATATAATCAAGTATTATGTATTTATTGAATAAAACTAAATTTACGGATTTTATCGCGTTTATTTCACTACTTTTACTTATTTTTAATTCCCGACGTTTCTACACAACCATGTCGGCGACATGACGTCAATGTCATAGTTAGTCCGGGTACCTTCAGTTTTTGAATATTAATTTTTGGTCCGATTTACGCAAAACGAGCTTATAGTATCATGAAGTCTTGCAGTGGTATGCTTAGGTTTGGGTTTAATTTTGTTAATTATAGGATCCCAAGCAGGTGGCAGCACCCATCCATCTTCCTATTGAAATTTGGATGTTTCTTAATTTCAATAGCCTCGCGTATCATCCTTGGTAGGAATCGGTGTTCTTTTGCGAGAATTTGTGGTTTATCAAAACGAATGTAATGGTGGGGACGATCTTGAATATGTTCGCAGACTGCAGACTTCCCGGAGCGTCGGTGCTTCACGTCAGCTATATGTTCTTTCACGCGGGTTTTTATGGATCTTTTTGTTTGACCTATGTAAGAGAGACCACATTCACAATCTAACTTGTACACTCCTGCATCTTGTAGAGGGATATTACACTTGACGGATGGTAAAAATTGACTAATCTTCTTCGGCGGCTTGTAGTATGTTTTAATAGAAGCTCGCTTCAAGATGTAGCCAACCTTGTCTGTGACTCCTCTGACATATGGTAGTACAGCAGGTACACGCTCGACTGTGGCCGCCTTCACTCGGTCACTGTGACGTAGGCGCGGGACCCGAAGCTTGTTGTCTTGCAATACTTGCTTGACGTGCTGAAGTTCGGCGGCCAGATGTTTTCTGTCACAGATCCCTCGTGCTCTCTGAAACAAAGATTTACCCACGGTAGCTAACTGTGAAGGATGATGGTGAGATTCACCATTTAAATATCGGATGGTATGGGTCTTTTTTCTATACACAGTGTGACCAATTGTGTTATTAGGATTTCGAATGACTAAAACATCTAAGAAAGCTAAAGAATTATTTGCCTCTAACTCCATTGTGAATTGTATTTTAGAGTTTATAGAGTTAAGGTGGTTTAAAAATGCAGTTACTTTGTCAGATGGTAAAATTGTGAATGTGTCGTCTACGTACCGCTTGTAGAATCTTGGATTTACAGGAGTAGTAAGAAGGGCTTTCTCC